TGGAATACATCACATGGCCTTGGAATTGATCATTTTGCAAAGATGTTCCACAATTGGAAGGTTCTCCTATCGGAACGTTTCACAGTGTAATGTAAACAAACTGTTGTCGAACAACAACAACAAATCCATTGGTCATTTTTTTGTTAAAATGTAAGTTTGGTGTTACTATAGTTTGGTGTTGTCCAATGTTCAATTGTTCATACCTAGCGATCGATCGATGAATGCGATTAATTCACTTTATTGAGCATTATTGTTGTAAAATCTAATTCGAATCATATTGGATTTTGTGACATTCCCCACATCGCATCGAATGTACCAAATGCTTATTGAGAAGAACACGCTTCTTCGAAATGAACATTGAACGATCGAATGTGAGTGTGAGATACATGTATAATTGACGTATGATGATACATTGTGTGCCAACCGAGTATTTCGTTGACATTTCCGAACAATGCTACAGATCCAGCTAAAATTGAATTACGGCTAATGAAATTAAAATAATCCGTCCTTGCGAATAAATTATGCAAATTTAAATAATTCCGTGGCTTGCACAAACATTTGAAATGACATAGAGCCACTCTGAACCATTCATTCATCTATCGAGTATCATTATACAATCAACAATCCATCGGGAAAGAGTTGTACGAAAGGAGCGCATTTTAGATTGCGATCGAGAATACTTGTAATGTGATTGAAGAAATGAAACAAATATTTTGAACGCTTTGAAATTGTAATATTATCCTAAAACGTACGAACTCGATCAGAACGCATCGTAGGGGATCTCGTTGATATAATACATTCACCAAAGGAGCTTTTGTTTCATTCATAAGCCAAGAGGAAATTGCTGCGAAAATAAACTCTGAAATCAAAGTCCAAACTCTGTTCTTTTTCTGTTTACATTTCAATTTATTTCTGTTTTATTTGATTGAAAATGCAGCTTAAATCTAAGGTGGTAATCATGAAGTTTATGGAATGAGAAGAATACTAAATGTTATTTGGATATGAGTTCAAATTCTTGAAATAAAGTTTCTGAAGTGTGTCAACCTATGAATTCAATCAATTGTAGAGACCATGAGTTATTGTTTCGATTCGGCTATGGTTTATTAAATCTATGCGATGTGCGACTTATTTTTTCTTCAAACGGTGAACTGTTTTCATGTGTCGATCGGCACTACCTTCGATGACAAAGCCTGCTGCACACACTTTGCATTGAATTCGCTCTCCGGTGTGATCATTTCGCATGTGAATCTTCAAATATTGTTTGTCTCGACGATGCTCTTTGCACAAATGGCATTGATACTGACGGTGGCCACATCTATCTTCATGAACCTCTTTTCCATCTTCGGTTGCGAATCCTCCGAAGCATTTGGAGCATTGGAATGGAAACTGATCGCTGTATGAGGTAAACAAATGTTGGTTTAGATAAATCTGTTGGATGAATTGTTTGCTGCAAATTTAACATTCGATCGACCGATCGGCTCCGTGTTTTGATTGCATGTGCCGCTTGAAAGTTGTCTTGTAAATTGTTTTGTAATTGCACTGATTACAGGTGAAAAGACTTCGTTGGCAACGCGTTTCGTGTCTTCGTTTATCTTTTGGTGTGGCAAATCGTCGACCACATTTCGCACAAGCAATCGGAAATTCATCTTTGTGAGTCATTGAATGTCTTCGGAGATAAGCATTGCTTATAAACGACTTGAAACAAATTGAGCACTCAAACGGCTTTTCCCCAGAGTGAGTCAGCATATGTTTTATCAAATCTGATTTTTTGATTGTTCTGTATCCACAAATATCGCATTCGAATCGGCGGGGATTACATAGTCTTTCATGATCGATCTTAAGTGATTCTTGATCAAATCCTTGATTACATTTTGAACAACGAAATTGGCCATGCGTTTTCTTATGATTGTTCAGATCAGATTTCTGTGAAAAGGACTTCGAACAAACATCACACTTGAATGGTTTTTCTCCAGTGTGAGTTCGCAAGTGTCTTATGAGATCAAACTTTCGATCTGTAAAATGATTGCACACAGGACATTTGTGCTTCGTTTGCTTTTTGGTCGCTTGATTCCTGGGAATCGTTCGTTTGTCTCGTCTTTTGGAGATTCCATTCCGTTTATTCCCGCTACCGATTGGTTGCGGTGGTTGCACATCGAATGCGTCTCCCATAGGCTCTTCGTTGTCATCATCATTTGCGGCAGCGCTGTCATTCGATCGTTCACGAGGTGCCGAGTCCTTTTCTGTGCCCGTCTCTTCTTCCTCACATTTGATTTCATCCTTTACTACATCGAAGTCATAGTCAAAGTCGAACGGTCCATTGTAATTCGCACGATATCTTCCATCAACTCTCGGCCGTGGTTTGCTCATGACATCATCCCTATTGGGCTCTTCTTTAATCACTAACTCTGCCTTGACTTCAACCTTTGCCGATTTTGGCTTGAGCCTTTTGCATCCACCAGAACCACCTTTGAATGGGTTCATTTTCTGTTGGATTCAAGAAAAACATGAAAAATCAAACTTTAACAAATGAATCAACTTCGGGTAAAACACGTGTTTTAGAGGACAGAAAAAATTCACACCAAATGTATGCAAACCTGGGGGTTAACATATACAGTGTTAGCTATACATTGGATAGTTCTGTGGTTTGTCACGTAATAATAAACTACGACGCTAGTGTGCATGCTTATTTATCTATAAACCTCATGATGCAAATGCTTGTGTCTTGAGTTAATTGTCATCAATTTTTGTGAAGATCAAATCGTTTTGTCACTTCTAAAACAGAATCACATAATTCTGAACATTGAAATAATTAGCAAGAAATATTCAATACTTACGTCGTGAAATGTTCTGTCGTTGCCCTTTTTCCTACTGCACGTGGAAATAATTTTTTTTCGCGTGTATTTTTTTTCAAGATGTCTGCTCAACTCTGTGGCTCTATGAACAATACCAAGCTCACGACAACCTACAGCATCGATGCTGATATTCACATACTCACTTTTGCGTGTGTTGGTGATTTTCGTTGAGTTGTCAACGACGTCACTTGATCTCGATGAGTAGCTGACTTGTGAGCAAATTCAGAGCTCAATTCAAAATTATCGGTTAAACTCATGCGAAATTTTTCGTTTCCAAATTGAAATTCGTTTACATTGCAAATAAATTGTTTAAAACGAAAACGTTATATTAAAAACATTTTGTCATTTGAATTAAAAAATGCATAATTGTATATACATATTGTGCAAAGAGCGTCTGTTTAGTTGGAAACAAACCATAGTTATTATTAATCCAAATTCCTTTATTTTACACCAAAATTTAATACATTCATTTCTGACAAAAATTAACGGAGAACTAAATTCGGAGTACTTCATGAAATATATACATACAATTCATAGTATATTTATGAAACTTCATGTGGTATAAGGAAATACGTTGATTTCGATTAACATCGTTCGTCATGTGAATCTATTCTGTAGAAAAAGTACAATTGGAATAAAATGGAAAATGGATTCGACATTTTCTTAACCCAACGAACTTATGCATATGTTTCTCACATGGTTGAACATAAAAATACACTATAATTTGGCCAGTATCAAGATTTATTTCATAATTTCAAATTGACAATACCAACTATCGAAGTATGAAAATAGGAAAAAAATGAGTCAAAATTCAAAACGGTTGAAAACGACTGAAGTTACAATTTTAGTTTTTCAGCTTGAAATTTGAGTGGAAATATTAAAATGCTTATTTTCGGCGTTTACGCATTATGTTGAAGGTTTTTCTATCTTCATTCGAAATTTTGTTTAGTATTAGTTTGGTCACTTTCTCTTGACATTGAGTGTAATTTTTGAAAAGAAGAAGAATTAGTTGAACCAATTTAGTTCTTATGAATTGGCTGCAGCTAATACATGCCTCAATACATTTGTCTTGAAATTTTGTTATTTTCTTTCAATTCGATTCGATTTGTCCTAGAACAATATTTATCCGTCAGTATAATGTTTCCACTGGAAACTTTCCACTCAATTACTTACAATTTGATGTCAAAATTTAACAGTGGGTGGAAACTGTACCAAAATTTCAAACTTATCGCGCTATTTAGTTTCGATGTGAATGGTTAAACATACATAATACATTTACTTTGAAATTGCTCTCGTCAGTCACATTCACTTCGACATCTTAACAGCCGAAATGTGGATTTGCATCACTGATATGTTGACTTAATTGATAAAATTCCCACGCAAAAGTTCTTCGATTTGATTGCCATTTGAATTTGTCACATCTCATGAGTCATGGTGCCAGACATCATCTGTTCGGGATGACAGTCATATTTTTTGAGGATTTTCATCTCAGTTCATATTTTTCTGAATAAATTTAACGAAAAGTCATCCTTATGAAGATTCAATGGATAATTACATTACAATTAAATAACCCATGGCTTCTAGAGCAGTATTTATGTACGGTTTACACTATTGTTTTGATTAATTTGTCATCTTTTTCCCCCTTTTTAAGATAACAGTAATCTTTTTTCAATGATTTGTTCTGGAACCATTACTCATGACTCATGCATTTTAATTGACACTCTAAGGCCTTAAAGTAATTCGCCCACACGAAATAATTTGAGTGAGAGTGTGTTGAAGAGTATATCATTATCGGTTAACATTATTATTCTTGTTATTATCGGTTCAACCAAAGTCTTTGATAATACTTCTTTGCTGAAATTATCCCATTGGAGGCCAAATCACCATTTGAGCTACGAATATGGAAGAAAAACGGAAATATTTTTATATGGAGAATGGCAAAAAAAAATCATTTCGAAAACAAGTTAAAATGCAGAGATGGTTCATCGTTTACCACAAGTGTATGGGAATGTGTATGGGTATATACTAAAACGTATACCTTTGCGTTTAACGCGTTGAGCGCATGCGTCAGCTACTACTTTTGTGACAGCGAACGCACAGGTTTATCAATGTATATATACCGTTCTGTACGGAGTACAGTAAATACACCAAATTGATATACATATACTCCATCTCTGTTAAAATATCTCTTACCAGGCTAGCTAAATTAGAGCCTCTAATCGTCCTTCTTGCTAAAGTCGCCGTTTGGTTAAAAGCGAGAAATTGTTTAGTTATGGCAGTATTCGCTCGTTGAGCCTGATTTATGAATCACGGCCAAAGAGATTCTTGGTTAAGACGGCCAATTTAAAATAATTTCCAACACAAAGTTCGGGCGCAATGACGTGAAAAGTGGGCCCTACATTCCAAACTCAAATTCATACCGACAACATCACGCCTGAATGTTTATACTCCACCGAAAACAAAAACAAAGCCAAAAACACTAAATATATGCACGAACGTCATGTGTAGCTCATTATCTCGGCGTTTCAATCATGCGATACACATGTAGAAAAACCGAAAAAATACTCGCTCCTTTTCATTTCGTTTTTATTTTGTTTAAATAATTTTTATTTGTCGGCCAAAGGAAAAGCGCCATATAAATGAATGAGAAAAGCGTTGGCTGTTGTTTTTTTTGTGTGTGTTCGGGCCGAGATATATTGAAATCAAATACGTTGAAATGAACGGCACATTTTTTTTTGTGCTGATGATTTATCACAGTTTGGTTGCATGAGTAGCTGTTATTATTTTCAATTGTGAGAGAGAGGGAGAGAGGGAGAGAGGGAGTGGGACAGAAAGAGAGCGTTGGAAGAAGAAGAAACGGAGAAAAAAGCGGCCACAACAACAAATCGCATGGCAAAAACATTTCACAACTCAAATAAATTGATACACCACACACAAATTTGATTAAATTTACATGGGGGATAGCACAATATTTTCCATACGCAACGAGCCGAACAAAAAACCCACTTTTATTTTATTAAAGTTAACTATCGAAAATTTATTTAGTTGAATTTTGCGACTCACGAAATTACAACTCGGCAATATTTGTGGTGGGCGATTCAGAATGGGATGAGGTAGTGGCGATGGTGAATGGGTGGTTTGTGGCAATTGTAAGACGTAGCCTACACGAATCGGTAGCGGTTGGTTTGTCGTTAAAATGAAAGCATTTTCTAGTCTTGATGGCACAAAAAAACAGTTTCCGAACAAAAAAAAATCTCATGGTCGAAACGATAACGCACAGGGCACTTATGCGATGGGGTTGGATGTATGCAGCAACAGTAGTAGCAGTAGCAGCAAAAAAAAAAGTATGTAACAATAAATTAAAGTAATTACTTGCCGAAAAAAAACACATATGCTTTGCATATACAGGCCGAAAATGATGCTAACGGAGTTTTTCCGTTGACCCTGATTGTTTCAACAGTTTGTGGTTTATTTCGTTGTTGATTGTGCGGCCGCCGAAAAATATTAAATCACTCTCTATTTATTATTGCCGCTTCGTTGTAATAAATGTCCCTTCGTTTGTTCGCTCTCTTTTCCAGTGCACTGGCCACAGATGAAATTGAATTTTGTAGCTTTTATGCTAGGCCAGCATTGCTGGCCAGAAGTGTTTGGACAAGAAGAAGCGGCAATTTCTACGAACGAATAATGCGAAAGAGAGAAAAGTACCGTTCATTGTTCGCCGGAACAAAATGTTATTAATAGTGTATATTTGGTGTCCATAACACAATTACATCGGCCGATAAATTGCGTTTGTTTGGTCTCTTGTCCCACGTGCGATGCGTCAGCTCGAATAAGACGATAGCTCGAAAATAACTATAGCTATTTCCAATACACTTCTCCCTCAGGTGCGTGAAGAGATGTAAAGCAAATATAAACACTGACGGCAGTCCCTCCGATGTGCGGGGATGGCACGGAAAGAATGCTCATTTGTTTGGTTCATTTTTCCACTGAAAATGCACTTAAAGCAATGGAAACGAATTGAATTTTCTTGGAAATTAAGAATTAGAACGTCTTAATTACAATGGGGACCTGCGAAGAAAAAAAGATCCTTTCAGTCCGTAGTGCAAGATAGCCATTTGCAGGCAGCTAAGATATTCCCTTTGAACACGCTCAAAGCTTTTGCAACATCCGGATTTATTGGACGAAGTCATTGTTGTTGTTTGACATTTTCCCCGGAGAGAGAGAGCGAGAGCGAGAGATAGAGACTGAACGCAGAACTTATGCCGATAGATTCAATCAATGCACGGTCCTCGAACCGCATGCAAAATTCAATTAGCCGACACAATTTAGCTGGAGAATATGGCCTAAGTGCTATGGCAAATAGCGATATTCCATCGAAGAGGATACACATCAATTGCTCTTTTACGCACCAAATATGTTTTTGCTGATTATTTCGCACAACCGGGATCTCGAGTGCGCGTCATCGAACGGTATAAATAGTGGCATCAATGATGGCACACGCTATCAGTGTTGATTGTCACGTTCTCCAGAAAACTTGGTGATTTGTTTTGTCGCAATTTATCAATAGCAATTGGTATTTTGATAGCGAGCATCTAGTGAAGGTTTTGTCTTACACTTTCCAAATTACTTGCCAAGCAACTAAAGTGTACATTCCTGCAACGGGATATCAGTTCCAATTTGCATTTTAAACCGTGTAATTTTTTTAAAAAAAGGGAAGAAAACGAAATTAAAAATGATATTCGCTACACGATCAGTTACATCCATGGTGATTTTGATGACCGTTTGCATTTTGCTCACGGTCACGCAACTCACAGAAGCCGGATACCGCAAACCACCATTCAACGGTAGCATCTTTGGAAAACGATCCGGCAACAGCATCGGTTGGTTCATTTCATTTTTTTTTAAATCCAGTTGATTTCAGTTTGTTCAGTAATAAGTTTTTGTTTGTGTGATAAATTTTCATCAAGTTTTTGGGAATACATTTATGGCACGACGTTTTCATGTGAATTCAATTCATTTGGGTCACCTGATCAATCCAAATCTTTAATTTTTCTTTATTCAAATCAATTGAATTAATCAAGAAAGAAGAAATTATGATGGAATTCAGTCCAAATGCAAAACACATTCGGAAATTAGCAACGAAAAAAATTGGATGAGTAACCTAACAAATTCCATAAAAAAGGAAAAGAGAACGAATTTCAAACAAAGTTTTTCGCAATAAATGTTCATCGAATTAATCATAATTAATGTGCACAGACGTCCTCGTTTCAGGGGAGGACGGTCCTTCGTTTTTGATTTGTCCTCGCAAATTTTCCAAAATAATCGAAATGTCCTCGTTTTTTCGGACGAATTTTCTTTAAAAATCCGTAAAATAAGAGGGAAAAATCAAGAAAATGGAATTCAATTAGGATAAAATGATTATTTTTCATCATTTATTTGTCATTTCATCCTTCATTTAAAAATAAATGTTAGAAAAGTCCTCCATTTTTTAGTTTAAAAAAAATGTCCTCGTTTTCCCTGTGGAATCAATCATAATAGCATAGCTTTATTTGATGATGTTTTTTGTTTACTGAAAGAAACATAAGAAAATGATTTAAATTAAGAAATGAACTTACAACAAGAGAATCGAACATCAGTTTTTTCGTTAAAAAAAAAATTATTTTTTGTTCCATTGAAAGATTGGTAACTTTTTCTTACATCGGAAGATGATTTTTTTTAACATTTTTCATTTGAGTTAAATGTTAGGCATATAGAGTTTTTGGCACCATAGAGTTTATCAATTATTGACAATTGAACGTCTTTTTATACAGTTTTTTTTATAGAAATTCAAAATCGATTGAAATCATTGCATGTTTTGGTATTGTGCTATAGTACAAATAACTCTGAGATTTGTTGAAAAATGAAAGCCGCAAGTTCAAAAATAATTCTCAATCAATTTCAATAATGATAAAAACAATTGCCAAGTCTTTCGTTCCATAAATGGAAAATAGAAAGCAGAGAATTGAAAGCAAAAAAAAGCTAAGAGCAAGAAATCGACACTCATTCAATAAATCATTAAAAGAACATCTAAACTGAGTTTGCTGCGAACAACATCTCTTTTACGCTAACAGCAATTCGTACACGAACGAGTCAGTGTGACAGTTGGTGTGAGCGAGACAAAGTTTGATAGCAAACAATTTGGTTGTGTCAGTTTAAATGTTCTTTTTTTAGACAAACTCAATCATTTGCTTCATTTTTTCTATACATTCCTATACATCATTTTAAACACAATGTTCCAATTATAAAAAGGCTTTATTTTAGCAAAAAATAATTTCTTGGTGTTTTGTTTGAAACAAGTAATACTCATGCGACGAGTTTCACGACGAATCCCGAAGCTAATCGCTTTTATCGCAGCACAATTCGTATTAAAATCGAAAAAAATGAACCGTTTTTCAAATCAGGGTCTGAAGATATCAATTCAATATTTCCCATCATTAAAATTGAAATCGTTAAAAACCACGAGTAGAACATACTCTATTTCATAAAAATCTATGTTATTAAAAACACACACTACACTGCTCTCTCAGAAATCTTAATCTTCCAGGAAACTGAAGCTATTTTCGAAAAACAAAATCTCTAATTTCATACAAAATTGCGTTCAGAAATCTTCACTGTCCAGAAAACTTAAGCGTTTCTGCAAAAACAAAATACTTAAGATTTCTGAGAGAGCTATGTACCCACAATCTAACTTATATATCTATGGATTTATCCATTGGATAAATTATAAATGTAAATTGATGATAAAATCTTCTTCATTCATTTTTCATTTGACTGTCACTCTGATCAGTGAGGAGAAGTTACTGAGAACTAATAAATAGAAGGAAGACCAAATGATTATAAAAATGAATGTTTGGATAATGTTTATCTCCTCCTAAATTGAAGATGAGAAACAAATCCTCTCCTCCTCAGAGTTATCCCTGCAGAGTCCCTGCATTTTTGAAAGAGTATAGAAGAATTCGTTGTTTTAAAATAATCAATGAGTTCAACCAAAGTATCCTATAACAATTTTTTATGGATTCCACTAACCATTTCGTCATATGATTAGAATAAATTTTGTTTAATTTAATTAACTCTCCTAAATTCAAAAGTCAATATATCTAAATTTATCACGAATCAATCATAAATCTATTTTCCTTCACATCCAATTTCATTGGTAGATTACGATGCGAGTGGAAAAGCGATATCGGCATTATGTGAGCTAGCGCTTGAGACATGCCAATCATGGTTGCCCCAAGACAAAAAATAGTGATTCGAAAACAATGATGGACGAACGGGCGTTTGAAGCAGGAACGAAAAGCCAACGCAGCATCACATCAACACAACTATCTGGATTCGAGCGATACATATAAATTAATTATAACGAATAAGGATCCGAAGCATTTTCGAGACACACACACACACAAACAAAATATTATAGCAACAGCAGCAGTAAACCAAAATAGAGTATCGAGCTTTAACACAACTTTATCATATATTGGAATAGCCAACAACTGATTTTATAAAACAATCAAACTGATTCAGCAGCAAAGTTAATCTAATGGTTAAAACGTATAGTATTTTTGTTGAAAAAAAAATCGTATTTTTTCTTACATATGCTCAGCAGTACATACAAAATGAAAATAGTTTTGATACGCAAAGAAAAAAAAAACAAACACTTGTATTGATGTTGGTTTAATTTTCAGTTTGATTTTTATTTGAACAATTACATGAGTCATTACACACATTTAATCTACTCTCATTACATTAAGAATAAAGAAAAGAATCGTAACAAAAAAAGAAGAAAATTTGTGGTTGATTGGAAAAGGAGCTTTGCAGCGGAATGAATAAATCATAATGGCAGCGAACATTCATTTTACAGTTTATACACTTAAAAAAAAATAATAATAATATATTTTCTATTTAAAGCGAAGCAAACAACAACAATAAAAAATAAATATTCCATTGAATAAGCCATGACAGTATGAAAAAAACGACCAAATTAAAATGTCTTGAATGTTTTTCGTTGTTGTTATTGTTCGATGTGGATATTCGTTTCTCTCTCATTTTTTTTCTTCTCTGATTTGTGTGTTAAGTCACGATGAATTGTTCATAAATGCTTAAATGCATGACCATTCATATTAAAATTTACCTTCGGAATGGCATCGCGCGACATTATTGTCCGTCATCGGCCAAAGCACACGTTCACATTCGTGCAATGGAACAAGTTCAACACTTGTCGCTGTTGCATTCAAATTCGAACCATTGTTGTAAGACTGAATTCGCTTGAATTCAGAAGAAAAAACGAAAAACGTGAAGGAGGAAAATTTCTCATTAGAAAAAGAAAAAAAAAAATCGGATTTGGTCTTGCATTCGAAATGGTTCTAATGAATTAATTGGACTGAATTCATTTCTCGGTGGTGGTAAAAATGAGAACGATTCATGGCATCTGAACGTTGGCATTTTCTATGGTCGTGGTGATTTTAAATGAATCCAATCAATCTTGTTCAAATTTTCCCGGGCAATTTATCAATTGAGAGGACTTGTATTTTTTGTTTGCTCTCTTGAACCAAGCTTAAAAGTCACCAGTGTGAAACCCCATGCACACTATGGGTGGGATTTGACGTTTTTGTGTCCCACATTTTCGATTGTAACTCGCATTTTCGTTTTCCGTTCAATTCTTCTTCTTTTTTCTTCTTCCAAGTCGTCATCGTCTTCTTCTTGTTGTGTGTACTATTTCCCTTGCACTGTCGGTATATTTAGATGAATCCGACGAAGGGATAAGAGAGAAAAAAAGCAACAACAGCATGTCCGTTATGTGCACACGAAACGCAAATAAAACTCCAATATAATGGTAATATGGGTTTTCATCGTGAAGATTTCGTGTGCACTATTAATTTAAGCGAGTGAATAAACAATTGAATAAGAATGGTGCGCGAGAAATCGAAACGACCGTCGTCGTGTCCACTTTCCATTCTTCGCTTTCGACTAAACCAACATAAACACACACACACTCGAGAAACTACCCGCCGAAGAAAATCAGGCTATCTCAACAAATAAATCTATAGTGGAGCATAAAAGGCAATGCCAGTCCAAACACACACCAAAATATATACACAACATCGTTAGCCGTTAGCGTGACGAAACTTTTCGAAAAACGTACCAACAATCCTTTCGTTTCCATCTTTTTCGCGATTAAACACCGAGAAATAAACACATACTCACTTGGAAGAAGAAACAAAGGCGAAAAAAGGAGAAAAAAAATCATTTAAATTGTATTGCGTATATTTGTTTAGTGCTCATTTTCGGTATGTTTCCATCATTATTGAAATGAAGAAGCGAAAAAAAAGTGGTTTGCCAATTGGTTTCCTCAATTCCAAACATTTCAGAGCAATTAAAATATGTGTAAGCCACTAAAGCCATGCATTTTAGCCCAAAATCCATGCATTTTTCAATTCAAACCAGAAAAAGTACCATTCAAACTACAACCCCGAAACCATTTCATTCACGAAAAACAAATCAGGATCATGTTTTTTTCTTTCCCTTAGTACTGGATCGCGTTTTTTTTTCATTCAGGATTGCGTTTTTGTTTTTGTTCTTGTTTTGTTTTGTTTTTTTTGGGTCGAGTCGTTCGTATGTTTTTTTTTTGTTTTGTTTTGGTAAAAATAGCACACAAAATTTGCTTCATCACAACGGTATTTGGCGTAAAATTAGCCGCTCAATGCATGAATATTCACCTTGTGATTGTTCGTTCCACTGCCCGAAGAAAAAAATACGTGCGTTTCTCCTTCAATTTCGACCACACGACGCTTCTGTCATAGTTTCGCATGTCCAAATAACCACACATATAAATACTAATAAATTAAATTATTTTTCCGCGTGGCGTTCGCTCTTTTTTTTTCTACTCTGACCACCCCTTCCCCACTCTCTCACAGTCTCGCTCTATCGGTCGCTGTGCTTTCTTGTGTGTGTGTACATTGTTTGGCTGCCATTATTATACGTATGAATTACTATTGATAGAGCAATAAACATCTGCTTGAGACGGACGGTATTGGGCCCAAGAGAGCCGCACAGGAAAATACTGCCCCATATAACTTTCAACATTAAATACCGCTGCGCAAACAAACATAAAAACATATTAATTTTTCACTTATTTTCGTACTCACATACACACATTCTACCTCTCTCTTCCTCTTTAACTCGGTCGGTCTTCCTTTTTCTAACATTCAACCCGTTTCTCTCTCTATCGCATTCTCGCACATTTTCAGACCTTCTATTTCCCTTTCGCACTCACGACCCTCTTCTCTCGCTCACACTCACCTCGACACGGCTCTTCTTTCTCCCTTTCTCTCTCTCTCTCCCCCATACTCATTCTCGGCCCAGTCAAATTTGCAATCCGACACACGATGAATTGCAATCTTGGTGAGAATTTGTTGTTAGTTTTTCTGCGTATGGCTGTTTGTAACCTTAGCTCAGCGACAAAAATCCACATGAAAACATTTAAATATTCATCGTTTGTTTTTTTTGGGGGCGCCGGCAGAACGCAAAGCAAGCTTGAAGGACTCTCATAATCAACTGTTCTTAGCGATTCATTAGCACGGCCGCTATGGATTGGCTGTAAAACAAATAAAATTCAGCACACTTCGACATGACTTCGAGAATTGAGACAAATGAACCGAACGACAACACAATGAGATTTCATTTTGACAAGGTCGCACTCACTTTTCACCAATGAATAATTATCAATCCATTTATTAACACCGGTGTGACAATTTGCCAAAACGGCCCAATTCAACCAAAATTTTGCGTGAAACAGTTCAAAAGTCGTGTGAAATGTACATAACTTCAAAATGGTACAATATGCGAAATTCCCTTATTGACATTCTACCTGTATCCCTGCTATCGCAAAAAAATTGCTCCGCATTCGGACGAGAAAACAAAATGTAATGAACGTAGGAAATTAGGCAAACAACTACTCGGTAAATTAACGCTGAAACTTCACCTTTTGTTTTGCTGTAAATATTTCGGAAGAAAGATTTTCGAATGAATGACGACAATTATAAAAGGCTTTTTTATTGCGACAAATAATTATTGCGTCAATTTGAACATTTATCTGAAGGCAAATTGCCTTGGAAGTACTTGAACTTGATCAAGGCGCTTGATTCAACACCAATTTTCCTTCTTCTTGGCTCAACACACACTTGATTCATCAACATTGTTCACATTCTTGGTTAATCCATGTTTCCAGGATGGCCGGCAATTGCCTCTTTTTATAGCATTATTCGGTGTTGCATTCATCTTTTGAAAGGCTAAAGGCAAGTAAAAGAAGCTAAATGAGCTTAAGGAAGTTGGAAAGAGCTGCAATGAGCTTGGATCAGCTGTAAGAAGCCGAAAAACATCAAATAAATATCTTTTTTTTTCATAAAACTTGGATTTTAAAAAATCAAACAAGTTTTTTTCTTCGAAAAAACTTTGAATGAAGCTAGATTCACTGAATAAAATCAAAAAAAGTCCGAAGAAACTAAAAAATGCCACAAGATACCAAAAAAAAAAACATTGGAAAGGTCTGAAAAAGTCTTAGAATGTCTACGAAAATGTTTGAAAAAGATTAAATTCAGAAGAAATCCTTGGAAAACCAAAGAAGAAAAAATGCACATAAAAGTGAAAATAACCCGTGTGCAAATAAAATGACTAACAGTCACTCAGTTAAGTATGTAACTATATGTAGTGATACACAACTAAAACTGGCTAAGTTGATTGAAATCATGCGTTTTGTATGGAGACAATCACGTTTAGTTATTCTTTTAGTCAGTCGACTAATTTGGAACATTTTGACTAAGAGTGATTTGTGATTAAAGTTAACTGCAGTTGCTTATTTTGTTCGAGACAATCACTTTTAGTCAGTCAAAATGTCCCAAATTAATCGAAAAAATTTCCACACGGGAAGCTTGAAAAACGCAATAAAACCGATAATTCTAAACGAAAATTCAATCATTGGCAATGCTTTTGCACAGATCAATCAATCTTTTTCCGTATATGACAAAAAAAAACTTCAATTACGTTTGAATTCCTTCCAAGTAGAAAGCTTATGCGTTTCAAAAGTGTAGAAATAGGCCAAAGTCGAGGAAAAATCATAATTTATACCATTATTCTCATTCTTTCTGGTCTCCGTATTCTTTGAACTGGATTCAAATTTAAAACTTCGAAACTGGTTCGAATCACAGGGCTTTAGAATCGATTGGAATGGTCTAAAAACCGTTGAAGTTTGAAAAGATAGGGAAAACTGATCAAAATGGGTAAAAAACTGATGAAAAAAGCATGACAAACCAACATGATGATGACCAAGAGAACATTAAGATCGATTAACACCAACAGGGTATTAAGATCGATGTGATGAACCCTAAAGCTTTTCATAGAAGAGAGAGAGAGAGAGAAAATAAAAAAACCACAGAAATAAAAGAAAGCAACAACTCAACGAAATGCATTCAAACATCAAATGTCAGTCCAAACGTGCATTTCGTACGTATCTTTTGAATAATAGTTAATCCCATGCATTCCGCAAGTAAATGCGAATTCCTTAAAAAAAAAACGAGTAATAAAATTGCGAAATTATCATTTAAAACGATCGAAAAAGCGGAATGGTCTTCGTCGACCGTTATTATTAAGCATGGTGGTCGGCAACGGAATGTGTGTGAGCAACGGTCAGTGTAACAGCAGAGTGGTGTGGTCCTGTTCCATTGTGTTCTATGTGTTCTTGTTCCTTTTGTCAGCTCCGTGGTTCGGTGTGTTGTACATCGTTCGTTGTTCCTTTTCTTCCCTTCTATGCCGTTTCTTCTCATCGGCCACATACACACAATCCGTGCTACTTCAATTTCAACCGTTTTCTTTTGTTCACTTTATTTTTTGTTTTCTTCTTCGTTCGTCTCTCGGTCACGTATGTGTATGAAATAATCGAGAGTAGTGGTTATGGCCACTTTGTATGTGTAATTTAGCATAAATACAGGCGAAATGGTGAGCAAATGGTCAGTAATGAATAATCGTTTCGTGTGGAAAGTGGTCGCGGGACTCAAAAGGCCGAACTCACTAAAAACGAACAAAATTTATTTAGCATTTACCTCGGACCCAAAACGCAGCCCTTCGAACGAACCTCCTTATTCGAGCTGCGATTTGAATTTCGATTTAGTTTTTTTTTTCTATAGTTGTTGTTGCTTCAGACTGGCAAATATTTGAATGAAATCAATGTGTTGTTTGTTTGCACCCGTAAATCGGGCTCATTCGCAGAGTGCCCATTGAATTTAGTGCGATTTTGGACAGAGAGCGAATCTATTTCGGAGGAAGAAGCATGCGGGATTTTTCATTCGTTTCGTTTGGATGGCGTTGAACCGTAACAATTTCGAGTTGATTTTTTTTTATTGATAAAAGAATATCCAACGGTAACGCGCGCCGCGGCCACGTTCAATCGCGAAAAACGAAAAGAAGCAACCCGTAAAGTAACATACACACACACACACACTCAACATGGACAAACAAAAAGACTCCATTTCAAATGACTGAAACGAAAAGCCTATAAGTTTCGGTGTAATGAGGTCAATTTCTTTGCATTGATGATTTCCATTTGCGGTTGTGTTTGTGTGTATACGAGACAGAGAGAGAGAGAGATAGAGTTTATCGGTGTATGTGTGTGTCTGTGTGCGATTTAAGTGAAACTTAAACGAGTGGTATATATTCATCGATGCTTTTTGGGACAAATCAAATGCATTGAACGACAAAAGAGCGAAAAAAAAGGTTATCGAAAATCGGGGTTCCGCCAACACGTCGTCATCGGTGGTGATCGTCGTCGACGGCGATTGTGCAAAAAGAAAAGTGAACATAAACAACTTGCTGGAAAAGCGAAGGGAAAAAAAAAAAACTAGTGATTAAAGTTGTTTCAAGCACCAAAAACTAAGTTTCAATGTGAAATTCCAATCGATCCGCCTTTTGCATTCTCCTTTGATTCGGAGACACAAGTACTCAAGCGACACACATTCAAAACGCAACGAATTAAAGAAAAAAAAACCGAAAAAAAACACAAACATTTTGTCGCTAATTCGTTGGTGAGAGAAAAATATAGACACAAACCAAAAAAAAAAAACCAAAGACACTTACTTATTTTTCATTCTATGCTCTCGGTGAAAAACGAACAATTTCATACGGTTTTGCCTTAATCCCCCTACATCATTAACAAAAATACAAAAACTCATTCCATTACAGCGTTGTTAACAATAAAAAAAAAACGCCACATTCTCATTTCAATCAAACGCAGCTAACACATTCAGAAGAGAGAAAAAAAAGTACCGTTCCGAACCAAACAATTGACCGTTTGCCGCAAAACAGATATTATGCAATTTTCTTTTTTGAAAGTAGCGCAACAAGAACTTTAAAATCGAATGTAAATTTTTTTTTTATCAAGAACCAAAAAAAAAGAAGAGAAAATCAAATAACGAAACGACAGACCAAAGCACTAAACATACCAATTAAAATCAAACACATACACACGATTTTTTGAATATGGTAAATATATTGTTTTTTGTCTAAAAAAAAATCAACCAAGCACAATAATGAAAAAAAAATAATACCAATTTTCTACACACATTAGAGAAATATTTTAAATGAACTACCCACCCCGTATTTAGTAGCTGAAACATTTTTGTTGTTGTTTTTTGGGCGTCTCAATTGAGATTGGTGTTTTTTGGCCGCATTTTTTTTTGCAAGCAATAAGATGCAACTCTTTGCACTTTTTGTGCTGTTGCTGCTGTTGCCTCCTGTGTAGCCACAACTTTTTTACTGTTGGTGTGGTTGCTGCTGCTGCTGTTGCTCTTGCTGTTGGTGGTGGTGATGGTAGTGGCGGTGCGGTTTATAACGAGGTTGCTTTGTCGATGCCACCCGACCAAAGCGCACACCGTTCCGGGCGCTTGAACCAAAACACCGGAACGCTATTATCAATAATCATACAAACGCTGTTGTGATGTTGTAACCGTTTGTTTTTTTTTCGTTTCCATTTTTTCGATCGAATTTTCTGTTGGTTTTTCATTCAAAAGGTGTAAAATAGCGTCGACTTTCTTGAGCTGATACTTTTTTGTGCCACGTAGTTTTTGTTGTTGTTTTGTTTTCGTTCTGTCCGGGGATTTTCGCATGGATTACGTAACTTTTAACCTAATTTTTTGTCGGTTTTTTGTTGTTTTTTGTATAAAAATGCAGCGTGTTATCAAGTTTTTCTGTTGTAATCATGTTGATTTGAAGAGGTGTGGCTGTAATTTTGTTCGGGCTTCTTTTTCTTGAATCGCCTCATCAACCGTAGTGGAAACAAAAAATCATTGTCTTCAAAGCTCAATCATGCAATTTCATTTGTAAGCTTTGCAAACGAGGCTAATTGAACTCCAGCCAACCATCCACCTTGCCCATTTGTTCCTCCAAATCAAAAGCGCATTGTTCCCAACACACCCAAGAAAAACCATTTTCAGCTAACAACCAAGATTGTTGTGTTATGCTATATTGATTAGAACGTAAATACCCGATAATATTGTTTGTGCGATTTTTGATCCCTATCAAAATTCTTTGACTCTCGTTTTTAATACACACACGTGCGGTGCCTCAGGTTTCTGGCCCTCAAAATAACCATCGTGATACTGAAGAGGCCGATGCACATGCTGAAACGAACGTCAACACATCTGAAGTGGAGCAGGACGATCAAGAAGAAATTGACGATCAAGAAGACGAACAAGACGTGATTTACACGGAAGACGATTCCAACAATAATCCAGACGCTGAACACTTAGAGGATACGCACGGTGGTCGCAACAGCGATAACAATACACGTAGCATGCCGAATGAAAATATCAACGATGCAGCCAATTCAACACATGATGCACAAAATCAAGATAATCACACATCCGTTGGACATCACATGAAAAATAGCCCATCGGATGAAGATTTTTATGGCGGACCGTCAACAGGTGATTTCATTTGATTGGGTTGCCGCAAATTTTTTTTATTGATGAGAAAAAAATTTCATTTGTTCATTTGTTCTGAAAATACTTTTTTTGGTTCGAAATTAATCACAAAAATATGCCATTTTCAAAATTGAACTCGTAAAAATTTGGTTCAAAAATGGTTTTAAAACTTGAAAATTGCTACTGAATGGTAAAAAATAACCTTTCCAGTTAAAAAAAAAGAGTCATTTTTCACCACGCTTAAGTTGATTTCATGGCTTAAAAATGAAGTTCATTGCTTTCAACGTGTTTAATTGTTGGAAATGAGCCACAGATATCGATTTTCCTTTGAAAAGTCGTCATTTTTTTTGAGTAGATAAGTTTAATTTCTTTATTTAACTTCAATTTCGTGCTTCGATTAGCATCATTTTTATGTGAAACTGCAATTTTCGGACCAAAAATATATGTTTTTTCCTTGAAAGTTAATCAGGATTTGGACATTTGATTGTGTTGTGTCGTACACCTGTTCGAAATTGGTTGTCGTCTTATATTGATTCATTGAAAAATTTCATATTTCTTCAAATTTGATCAAAATTATTTTTTGATATCGAAATTCGTTCGAGCATATAAAACAACGATTAAAACGAAATATTTCGTTGTTGCATCATTATTCAAAAATAGACCGTCTTCAAACATAAGACTGAAAAAAAACCTTTTGCAATCTTTTAAAATTGCAGGTGGTTTTGGTCATCAATCCGATGGTAATCCGCGTGGTATGCATATGCACGGTCCCGATAACATGAGTGAAAATTCATCGCAGGCACCGGGTTTGGTGCGATCAAAATCACGAACCGATATGAGTGGTGCAAGTAGTCGATACCAGAATCTATCATATTGGAAAGCCCGTCGTTTGATCTTCTATCGAAATGGTGATCCATATTTCCCAGGCGTTGAATACCGTTTTAAACCGGGTCGTGATGTGAATAGCTTAGAGTCATTGTTGGATAAAATTTCGCCGAAAATGGATTTGCCACGCGGTGCACGGTACGTATTCTCAATGGATGGCGATCGAAAGTACACATTGGACGAACTGGAAGATGGGGCTTCGTACGTTCTATCCTCATTGAAAGTTTTCAAGGTAAGTTTCGTATACTTTTGACAACTTTAAACAAAACGAAATGACATTCGTTGGAAAATTGGTGGAAAAATAAATGAGCTTTTTTACTGGGTCCTTTCCTAAAAAGCACAGAATAAAAGCTGAACGCTTGTGAGAAGAAAAAAAAAAGTATTCGGACAACTTTTTAGACATGCATTTGTTTCGGAAGTCGTTTTCGCAACGAACAAGTCCAGTAACGACCGAAACTTTTACTCAAATAAGTCGATTTCGTATGGTTTGACGAAGAAAAAAACACAAAACCATGTTTCCCTGTTCGTTTCATTACATCCTTTGAAGTTTTTGACGGCAATTCATCAACAATTGTAAACAAAAATGCGCTTTAAATTATATACGAAACGACAAACAATAACAAGACAAGGGAAAAAAACAACAAGACGAGAAAAAACAATCGACGAACCGAAAAGAAACACACATTTACGCAAGAAATAAACAGAAAAAAAGGAGAGCAATCGAAAATAATTGTGGCGAGTGTGAATGAGAGAGAGAGAGAGAGACATTTTTGTCGCATTCTGCTATATTTATCCATAGGTTGGTGATGATATGGCACGCAGACCCAGAACCGACATTTTCAGGTCAACGGATTTAACCTTGAAACAAATCTCTCACTCTCTCTGCGTGTGTATTTCGGTTTATTAGTGTGTGTATGAGAGTAAAAACGCAAACTTTTCAATCATATTTACATAACATGGATATCGAAAATTGCATGCGAAAAAAAGCCAGCAACGTAGAACAAGCGAATCAGAAAAACAGTATTCTCCGCGACAATTTGAGAGCGATAAAAATAAGGAAAAGCAATCCAGGTTTCAGAAACTGGTTCACACATTCTCATTCTCTCGATATTACGCGCTCTCTTTTTTCTTTTCTTCGGTTTCTCGTTCACTCCGTCTGTTTTGCCACGAAAAACCATTCATATGTAAAATGTAGTTGGTCGACACGCAAGAATCAAAATTGCGCTCAAAGTGGAGCTTAAACGACGACGACGACGACGACGACGATATGGAAAAAGTCAAAGAAAAAGGCAACACGCTTCTTATTGCTATATTGACCAAATAGTTTATAAAGCAATTGAACAAACTACGTCGCCGTTTACGTACCAACGGATTTTCGTTTTCCTATTTTGTTCGCTATGTTTTCGGTTTTTTATATTGGTTATAAATTTTTCACAATTTTTCACATTCGTGTGGACAAACCAAAGAACGACGTACCGACGCATTAAACACATTCGCAAAAAACAACCACATCAACAACAACAACCACCATTGTAATAAATTCGAGCGACAACAAAAACCAATTACACAAATCATTTTTCGTCCACAAAAATGCTGGTCGGTTGTTTTTTGTTGTTGTTGCTTTGGTCGGTTGGTTTATCGCGAGGTTCGTTTTTAATTTAATGAAATATTTGGCCGGCGATTTTCATCATAATAGCCTATTCGCCGAATATCTGACCTCATATTTATGGCGATTTTTAGCAAGAGATCGACTGTCGATATGCTTTATTATGCAAATAAAACTTACAATTAACTGGCAAACAATAGTCATAACATCCAATGTCAACTCGTTCATTTTTTTCTTCTTTCTTTGTGCCATTTGGGCCGATTCGACGGGATTTGCCAACAACGCGCTTTGGATGCCAAGCAAAAGCAGGGAAAAGATCAGTTACGGCTTACTCGATTGCGGCATAAATTTTCATTCATCCTTTTTTGTGTCGCTTCTTTTGCCGACCTCCACCGATGTTATGTCCAGCTCTTTCTCTTTGCTTCGTTTCGTGTCAACGAAAGTGAAAGAACGAACGAACGAATGAAATTAAGAACGAACCGATGTGAATGTGAAATAGGTCAGTGTGGTTAATTGTCGAATGCAAATTACGCATTAACCGTGTGGCTTGTGAAAGCACTCGCTCACCTACTTGCTGACTCGTTTGTTCGTTCGCGCCCTGCTTCTTATCTCACGAACATTTGAACCGTTCACATGGAGTGTGTGAGGTTCACACATTGTGAGCCAAAGTTCAATGTAAACAATTTCCAAGCTCGTTTTTGCATAGTTTTTCTGCGTTCCTCCCAGTTTTTTTTCTCTTCTCGAAGCTTTTCAACCATTTTCACTCACCTTTCTATACTTTTTCCCTATTCCGCCCTTTTTTCTATTTGAGCCCTACCTCACTTTTCTTCCCATATCAACCTTTTCCCTTAATACACCCTATCCTATCATCTCACCGCCCCCTTCACAAAGGTAGAACTCTCATTCCCTCTCCTATTTTTCAATTTTCTCGTGGATTTTCCACATTCATTTTTTAACTTCTGCAAAAGATCCATACTTCATATCCAGTGTGACACACTTAAACTTGTTCGATGTATTTTCACGATAATAGCCGTAGTTATTATATCTGGTGGCGGTTTGAACAGAAGCTTGCGTCATGCATTACAATATACAATATTCAAATCGGAACAACTTTTCTGAAATATAAAACGCCATTTTCTCGTTATTGTAATTGTTATGGGACTGTGTGTGTGTCGTTTGTAAGAAAACCAAAATGAAATAACAACGACGACGGTAACAACAACAACAACAACAACAAAAAAAAAGATGAATTCGCAAGTTAAAATCGCAATTGAATCCGTTGTTATGATTGTTTGTATGCAATTTAGTTACACAATGTCGTGTCACTGTTTTGTTGCGATATTACAAATGCGTTTTCTTTGATCGCGAATTGTTTGGCGCTTTCTTTGCTCCTTTTTCTTTACTCTTTGCTCTCTATTCTTCGCTCTATGCTTCTGTATTTCGATATTTTGCCTCTCTTTTCGGTCATTTCGCTCGCATTTTCTTGTATTTCACCTGCCTTTTCCAGTGTATTGCTTGACTTTACAAACTGTTTTGCCCACTTTTTACCTCTTTTTTGCTCCTTTTTGCCCACCTTTTCCCTCCTCTTCCCTTCATTTCCCTCCAAATTCCTTCATTTCTCTTCATTTGCCTCAATTTTAATCCATATTCCTCACCTCTCCTTGCATTTCTTCACCTTCCCGCTCATGCCTCATTCTCTGCTTACAGCCATACTCCAGTCTCTGTTTTCTGCCATTGTGCAGAAAATAATTTGGAACATGAATCGTTGAAATTTATAAAATATTTCAAATAAAACGCTATCACTGAGTTTTTATGTATATATATTTGCTTGATCGAATGGCGCGTTTTCAGCAGGCCAACAATAACAGCACACCAAACCAAGACAATTAAATGCGAATTATGTCGTATTTAGCCCGCTGTCTCTCCCCACCGCTTTTCCGTTCTCCCATCGTCTATCTCGGTCTGCGATTTGCGATTGAATGTTATTTAAAAAGTTCCAAACATTTTTTCGCTGCCGACTCGAGAATCCGTGTGCTAAATCCCAACTGAATCGAATGTAAACGCAAACCATCCACTTCACTTATATTCACTTACGAAAATTCTCCGAGTTACTTTTCTTCGCTATTTTTTTTTTCTGTGTGTGCTTTGTGTCCAAGCGAGCATGAGCGTGCGCGCGCGCGCGTCAACTTGGTTCTTCGCGACTTCACATTCCTTTCATGCATTCATTCTATCATCGTTTTCATTTTATGTTTGTCTTTAATTTATGTTCAAATAAATGTATGTTTTTGTTTTGTTTCTTTTGTTTTCTTGCGCTGTTGGTATGTTCGGCGGTCGAACGGTCGATCGCTTGTGTATGAGTTGGTGCGTTGTGTTTTCTGTTGTACTTTGGTCGTCGTTGTCGTCGTCGCTTATTCATTCTCTCACTTGCTCTCTCACTACTCACTCACTTGCTCGCTTAGTCACTCGCTCTCTTGGTCTCTCACCTCCTTGCCGTGGCTCGCGAGCGCTCTTCTTTGGGAAATTCGATAGCGCGTCGCGATTTGCATGCTACACTTTTGCACTGGTAATATAATGAAGTGGATGGCGTTTCTTTTAACAATATAGCGACAAAATGGACGGGTGAAATTCGTTCGTTTGGCTATTTTCTTTTCTTTTTTACCCACCGTTTTATTGGCTCATTTCTTTCTCTCTCTCTCCCTCTCTCTCTCACCCTTGTTACCTCTTGCCGTGTGCTTTTTTCTACCCTTCTTACTTTCAATACCAATTCAATGTGTGGTGATTTTTTTTTCTTCAACGTCGTCGTCATCTTCGCTTTTACTTTTCGCATAGTCTAGTACAATTTGATGTTGGTTGTCGCCTCCTTTTACATTGTTTTCTTTTCGTTTTGCCAGAGTTTACTGTCAGTTTGAAATGAGTAAGCAATCATACAAGCTGCTCTGTATGATTGTAAAGCATTTTAAATTTTCACCACACATTCTCCCGCTCGAGCTGTGTTGCGCGCCTTCGCGCCTTTGTTTTCGATCAATTCTCGCGACCGAATCGATGATCCGATCGATAATAATAATTTCGCAATAATAGAGTTAAGTCAATCAAAAAGCAGTTTCTCTATTTCGATGATGTGATGTAATTAAGTCATAGTGCAAACTAGTTTGTTGCGAAGAAATTTTGTTGCCGTAAAGGAAATCAAAATAAGTCACACCACATCAATTTCACGCGATTCGAATTCAAGGGACAAAAAGCACACAAAAGACGAGAACCAAAACAACAACGACAATTTGCCAAAATAAGATCGAATTTTAGTGCCTTCGTTTTTCTTTTGTTTGGCTGAACATCGACGTCGTCGTCATTTTTCAACCGAATTTCTGTAATTTCGTTTGAACGCCGTGAATTTTTGCGCTTCTATTTACAACGACTGTGGTTTCAGTGGGTCAAACCCTCCGGAAATATTGATGTATACACCTCAGAATTAGTGCAAATCACAGCCGAATCGAATAACATTTTTTTTTCGTACACCTTTTCTCGTGCGTTTACAGCCAGCCAGTTACGGTAAAAAGAACGGCATGTGGTATGCATCGCCAGGAAATCAAGGTTGGGGCAATAAATCAGCCGCACGCAATTCATCGGTTTTGGATGCAGACATCACACCAAACGCACCAAACGTACTCAAACCGAGCGCGGGCCGCGTCATTCGCATCGTCAACAATTTGGATCATAATGTTCAGGTGAGGTTTTGGGGTTTTTTTTTTTGGTTTCTTCTGCAAATTTTTGGTTTTACATTTTTTTATTTGTTTTTTTTTTTTTTTAAATATTTTCAACACTTTTAATACAATTTCAAACATTTTTGATATGCCAAATCGAATGATTGAATTCAATTAGATTGATTAGATCAATTGAAGCTTTGTGGATCTAGTCTAATTGAATGCAATGTGGTAGACAATTTTTGGTGGGAATTTCGATAAATTTCGTTAAAAGAGATCAAAATGAAGAACAAATCAAAGCAGGATAGACAAAACAAGGGAAGGAGATCAAAAATAGATTTTTTACGTATTGAAAGATATCGAAATGAAGGATAAATAGTTAAATGCGAATGAAAATGAAAAACGAAGCTCAATGCAAGGCTTTTTACTTGAAATCTATGCTCGATTCCATTCACTTCATTCAAATTTAATCAATGAAATGAAACTTAAGATTCAAAAGAAAATCAAACAAAGAGAAGAAAATCTCTGTTCAAAGTCGAAGTCTCTGGTCAAAATCGAGATTCGCAAAATCTGACACAAAATCAAACTTTTATATTTTTAAAAGCAAAGTATTTGAATTCCAAGATTTAGATGAAAAACAATTTGATCAGATTTCATTCCTTGACAACTTTGTCGAATATTCAATATATGAGATATGATATGGTTCTAGTGTGTTTACAGTGTCCATGTTGTCAACTAGACATCTTTAATGGGGCGAAAATTTGACAACATCACGAAGAAATTGAAATTTTAAGTAGAACAAAATTGAATTGAATTGAATTGAATTGCAAGTGATATTTTCCAGTGAAAAATAGGTGAAAATCAATGAAATGAAGAAAATTAGAAAAAAGAAGAACAAGACAAGGAACAAGATAATAAAAAACCAATTAAAAACAAATCAAACTTAAAAAACAAGACAAAACATCGTGAAACACCTTCCAGTGGAAAAAAACGAATAAGCGATTTGACTCAGTTCAAGTGGGTCGTTCAAAAAATTGAACGATCAACGTCGTCAGGCATCTTCGTAGTCCACACAAATATCCGGATCGATTCCACGTGTCAGAGAGCCAAAACCGAAAAAAACAAGAGTCAAAAACTTGTCCAGGGTCTTTGTCGAACTTTCAACACAACCTTTCTCAAGCTCTCATTATCTACTTACGAGGCAATTACTATGTGATTAAACCATTTACTCGATGCCTATAATTAACCACAAATAAATAGCCAGCCAATTGTTTTATTAAACAAATATCAATAGTGAGCCGACTTGAGGTGTCGATCCCATGGCTCGCTCACTCTATTCATTTGAATCACAAACACATGTCGTTTCTCTCGGTTTGTGAACGGGGTGGATTGGAATTTAAGTTCTGCTGGCAAGCAAAGCTGGCGAGTAAAATGCTGGAATAAATTAAAGAAATACAGATACTGCGCAAGAATTTTCACTCGCTCGTTCAAACGAACAAACGAAAAAAAAAACAAAAAGAAAGAGAAGAGAGAGAGAGAGAGAGAAACACCAACAAACATTTTCTTATTGTCCTTGAGGCACGTTAGCCATTCATAAAAGTAATTACTCAATAATAATAAAACATCGGCAACACAATTTCCGCGGACAGATTTTCATTATGTGTGTATGCTTTGCTCCTTATATTTTCTTCTTTTTTTTCCAAGCAGCGCAATCGAATGTCGTCGCTGTTACTGTTGCTATTCACATACACACCGTGCTCCCAACACACTCACTCATTTCGTCGAAAAAAAGAAATGTGTTTCACGTGTGAATGAAACACAACGATTGCATGCTTACTTTTAGCACATGGCCGTTATATTGTGTGTCGGCATCGATTTTTCGATATTCGGTGTTTTGCCGTTTTTTTCTCTCCCTTTTTCTTCTTCTTTGCTTCGTGTCATAGATCCTAAGAGTGGTTTTGGGTTTTTTTTTTGGTTTTCCGTCACCAAAAACTGAGCGGAAAAAAACTGTCCAATGAATTATGATATATCAATCGATGGCGGATTTGAATGAAAAAAAAAGAACCATCGGCTAGATATTCCATTTTTAGATACTCAATCGATTTTTTGAATGTTTTTTTTTCGCATTCGTCTTTCGTGTGTGGTTTTTTTCACTTTCATTTTCTTCATTTCCATTTTTTTTCATTCCAAATTTTTTCGTTCGTTGCATTCACAGTGTCGAGTTTTACTCAATTTACGAACATCACAGCCGTTTGAAGAAGTGTTGGAGGACCTAGGGCAAGTATTAAAAATGACCGGTGCAAAACGTATGTACACCACGACGGGCGATGAAGTGCGAAGCTTTTCACAGCTACGTAATGAATTTGCGGATATTGAAACATTCTACCTGGACAGTAGTGCAACGGCAATTGCACCAATTGGATCGCCCATTCGACGTTCACGATCACGCAATAATGTGTCGGCGGCAGCAACAGCCGCGGCAACCGTTTTACATGACGAACCAATTAAACCGTCCGTACGACAGAGAGCCCGTAGCAAGAGCCGACCACGTGTGCTGTATGCACCGGAAAATGAAATTGCAAACCGTGGCAGTGCCGATTTTACCGCATTAGACATTGCCAAAGAGGATCCAATTAAATTGAACATACGCGGTTTACGTCGTACATTCTATCCACCAATACATCATCCACCTGTTGATAATACAGCACCAGATAAAAAATTACAATTGCAATGGGTACACGGCTATCGTGGATTGGATGTACGTAAAAATCTATGGGTTCTACCATCTGGGGAATTATTGTACTTTGTTGCTGCTGTTGCCGTTTTGTATGATCGCGATGAAGAGACACAAAGACACTATACTGGGCACACAGAAGATATTATGAGGTGAGTTCAGTTTTTGGGACTTTAAGCATTAAATTTTCGCATACCAGCTCTTTATTACAGAGAGATTGGTCAATTTGAATTTTTGGCATCGAGTAAAGGAACTATTTCCAAGGCTCATGATTACAATCGTGTATGATTCTTTTGAAATCCTCCATAAATGGTTGCCTTGAAAATAGCAAAAAGATACGATCGTGGACGATTTTTGCCATATAAAAACAATCGTATACGATTGGGAAGATCGTGCAACTTTGCAAACGTTCGCTTTAGTTGCAGTGCTCTAACTCGATTCGAGTTCTGCTTTCGTTTATTGAACTTTAATCTTTTTGTTTTAGACTTTATGAAATAAATCAGTTTAAATTTTCTTCTTGTTCAATATGAATTCAATGTTTTTGTCACTTTTTTCTTTCCCGCAGCATGGACGTGCATCCCTCACGTGAACTGGTAGCATCAGGTCAACGGGCGGGTGCCGACCGTAAATCACAAGCACATGTTCGCATTTGGAGCACTGAATCACTTCAAACACTTTACGTCTTCGGAATGGGCGAACTGAATGTTGGCGTCACGGCAGTTGCTTTCTCTCAATTGGTAAGTGCAAATTGATACTTCGAAACTTCTTTAAATTGATTTCTAAGCGTAAAATCGAACGTTTGAAAGAACAGTTTTTGTTGAATTATTATTTTTTCCAACTGATTGTTTCAAGATTCATTTTCTTATTCAAAAATGTATTCTTTCCATTTAAGAATGGTGGTAGCTATATACTTGCGGCTGATGCCAGTCCGGAGAGTGTGCTATCTGTGTGGCAGTGGCAATGGGGACATTTATTGGGAAAAGTTTCGGTACGTTGGATGTCATTGTTTTTCCAAGCCCACAATTTCAAGCAGAATTTTTCTTGTAACTCACCAAATTTTCTATTCTATTGTGACTCCGAATTTTTCTAAGTCATAAGAAGAAAGAAAATTTGGTTTATATTATTGGTCAATTATATGTGAAAAATCTTTTAAAATATTCTTCAATACCAAACCATGCCAAAAGCTTATTATTACCTCAAAATTTCCCCATTTTTAGACATTGCAAGAGAATTTATCTGGTGCAGTTTTCCATCCGTTGGATGATAATTTGATTATAAGTCATGGACGGGGTCACCTATCATTTTGGCATCGTCGCAAAGATGGTTTCTTTGAGCGAACGGATATCATAAAGCAGCCATCGCGAACGCATGTGACAAGCGTTCAATTCGAGCCAGATGGCGATGTTATTACAGCCGACACCGATGGCTTCATCACAATTTACAGTGTTGACGCGGATGGAGCGTAAGTAAAAGACAGAGTGAATACGATAAAGAGATCCACCAAAGTAATTAAATTCATTTTACTTTCAGTTATTTTATACGAATGGAATTCGAAGCGCATAGCAAAGGCATAAGTTGCTTGGTAATGTTGTCCGAGGGAACATTGTTGTCGGGTGGTGAAAAAGATCGTAAAATTGCCGCTTGGGACTCGTTACAAAATTACAAACGAATCACAGACACAAAACTACCTGAATCGGCCGGTGGAGTACGCACAATTTATCCGGTTCGACCGGGTCGCAATGATGGCAACATTTATGTTGGTACCACGCGTAATAGCATCGTTGAAGGTTCACTCCAACGACGATTTAGCCAAGTGGTGTTTGGTCATGGAAGACAATTGCTTGGCTTGGCCGTACATCCAGAGGAGGAGATTTTCGCAACAGCCGGTTGTGACAAAAACATTGCCTTATGGCGTAAACAAAAACTTTTATGGACTTGCCATTCCGGTTACGAATGCGTATCCTTGGCATTCCATCCATTTGGATCAGCACTGGCGGTTGGCAGCACCGAAGGACATTTACTCATATTGAACGCAGAAAATGGCACCATTATGATCACATTGAGAGTTTGTGGCTCGCCATTGAACTGCATTAGCTATAATCAAGGTAAATTTGTGGAGCGAGAACAGGTGGTTTGATTCGATTTTTTGATGAAAAAATGTTGCAATTTGATTTATTCAATGCAATTAAATTACTATAATCAAGCTGATGGTGAATCCATTAATGAGTGAATTTTAATTGTTAAACCCATTCGATCATTAATAAAATGTTAATGTTATAATGAGGTTTGTTTTCAGTTGGCGATATGATTGCATTGGGATCACAAAATGGTTGCATTTATCTGTTCCGGGTTTCGAGAGATGGATTTTCTTATAAAAAACTAAATAAAATTCGAGGATCACAGCCTTTACAGCACTTGGATTGGAGCATAGACGCATTCTACTTGCAATCGGTTACAGTCGATTTTGATCTTCTGTTCTGTACGTATCGAATCTGTTCCTATTTTTCTTTGTTATTGTTCGATTTTTACCATGAAAATTGACACATTAATTCAGAATAAAGTTCCAGCAAGCTCAGTAACGATTTGTTTTGTTGCTTCATTGGTTGTTTTCGTTCGATCTCCGAAATAAAATTGTTTTTTAAAGAAATTTGCGGAGATTTTGAAAATTTTTGAATTAATTTTTTTATTGGCTTCAACTTTATGCTTCTGTATTACATATAATAATGAGTACTCCTCCGTAATAACAAACATACATGCATTTTTTTCGTTCATTTTGGTTGGTTTTTTCAAATTTTGCTTCAGTTTTTCCAAACCTTTTGCTTGACATAAATTCTTCTGGAAACAACGCGTCATTTGAATTTGTGAATAAAAACGGTGGTGATTTCTTCATGATTTTCAGGGGATGTAAGATCGTTGTCACCTGAACGCAGTCCAATCGCTATGAAGGATATCAAATGGTTGACACAAAATTGTACGGTCGGATTTTTGGTTGCGGGTATGTGGAACAATCGATATTATTCGAATTCATCAACAACAATTACGACATGTAATCGAGCTTCTGGACACGATATGCTGGCGTCTGGTGATGCAGAAGGCTACATTCGCTTGTTCAGGTATTTTATTTGAAGATTTTCTGAAAAGTCTTTTCAAGACACAACTAGAACGACATGCATGAATTTCATGCCATGAACAAAGGCTAATAAGAGTAGAAAATACTCAAAAAATAAGCCTACAACTCAAATTCAGAACAAAAAACAGTAAAATTGGATTTGATTTGAATTGTCAACTTTCACATGGCACAATTAGAGATAGTTTACTGTGTATTTTTCAATAATTTTCTCATTTTCTTTCAAATTGTCAATTCTCTTGATTTCCAATAACCTTCTACACTTATTTCTCTCTTTCACCCTCTCCAAAACACTCCAGATATCCGTGCATCAGTAATCGCGGTGAATATCATGAGACGAAAACATATTCGGGTGCAATTGGTAGTGTACGATTTTTGTATGGTGATCGATCGTTGATTACGGTGGGTGGCACTGATGCATCGTTAATGATTTGGGATTTGATTGAAGAATAACCTCGGTGGGCGGCGTGGCGCAGTTCATATGTAGAGCCACAGCAGCACCCACAAACCGTCCTAGAATCACAACGTTCATTTATTGCATCTCCCGTATGTACCGATAGTATAATGCCAAACAAATGGAATACCAGGAACGAGCGACGAGTAAGTTTACCTTCAACTACCTCCCACATCTCTATCAAACGAAAAATCGTTTTAGGTCAAACAAAAAAAGTTGTGACATACTCAATTAACTAATTAAAATTTGTAAGAAGAAAAAACATTGCCAAAGAAAATTCGTTTTTCGAAAGGAAACATTTTGTAAGCAGAAAAAAAAACAACAACATTTTGTCAGCCTATAGAAAGTTACATAAAAATGAGTTTTCGAAGAGTTTTCGCTTATTTGTTTTCAAAAAGCTTTGTGACACAAATAAACTAACAACGTATTACCATTGCAGGACAGTTCACCACCACCAACGATCATGTATATGGAAAGAGATAGACATCGAAATCATCAGCGCGACCGAGGCTCCCATTACTTAGACCATCGAATATTTTCACCGAACGATTCATTTTCCATAGTTGACTTCGATTGATCCAATCGTTGAATGGAAGTTTTTTTCTCTCTCCAATCGTTCCAATTGAGACGTCATCAATCAACTCAGCATAATCCTGTTTTCTGTGTTCAAGCGAAAGATTTCCGAGCTACGGTGATGTCAAATGAGAGTCGCAACCAATAAACGCACCGATAATAACGCCGTTCTTGGATCTGAACCAAACAAAAATGGCTCTTCCAAAGTGTGAAGCACCACACACACTTTTTGCACCAAACAAATTTGAATATTACCCGTTAATAATTGTTGCAAGAGTCAAAAATACAGAAACATTCAGTTTAACAAGAACAAAAGAAAACGAAGAAGAAGAAGAAGAAGGACATTTTTTACGAAACACAATATTTTCCGACCACGACATTTTTAATGAAATATTGTCGTCGATCAACCAAAATCATCGTGTTCAAGCTCAAAATGAATCGATGATCACACCCACACACACACACACTCACACACCAAGGAATCGTTAGTCATTTCCATCTATTTGAATAAGATTTTTTTTTTGCTAAATGCTTCAATGAACTTTGCCTCTTTTCTCATACGCGCTCGTGCATCGTCCAGCTTCCAATCAAAATCAACGTTTTGATTTTGTTTTATACTTTTGTCTCAACACAACCAAAAAAAAACAACAATTTTAAACCAATTTTCTCAGAAAAAATCTTTTCGGCATTTCGATTCCAAACGTAAAACAAAGTGTGACAAGTAGAACAATCTCAACCAGCTTTAATTTTGTCTTCTGATTAAATCGTCGTCATCGAAACACATACAGGTCACACATGTGCTTCATTCATCCAAGCAATGGTCATGATTTAGATAGACAGAGAGGGTGAATCTCTCTCTCTCTCTCTCTGTTGAGAAAGTATTGAATCAATTTTCAATATTTTTGGTATGCTCACCTTGATTTCCTTCAATTTGTGCTTCCTAAACGATTGTTTTTTCTTCCATTTTCATCTTTTGTTTTTTTTTCAATTGTTTTTGTTTCATTTGCCGAATTTTCCGAACGGAAAAAACTCACAGAACTCTTTGTATGACACAGACAAACTTGAAACGACTTTAATCATGACACATACACATTGCTTTTGAAACTCATTCCAAAACTATCAATGAACAACAACAAGAAACAAAGCAATTATACCAACTGTAGCATTTAAGCAATTAGCTGTGGACCACTTCTCCTGTCTATAGCGCCAGTCAACATCATTTTCATTGGAAATGATACGAAACTTTTTCACTACACTTCCATCTTCATACACCAAATAATTTAACGCCGATCTTTTTTCGAAGCATTAATTTATTGATTTATTTCCCTTTTGTGATTTATTCGGTTGAATTTGAATTCTTCTGTTGACCTTTTCTTTTCCTGACCAAAACTAAAACAACGAACAAACAAAAGTAAATCTGAATCACCGCAAAAAAATATTCCTTTCGGACGGGAGAATTACGTAAAACATGCAAATCATCTCTCGCACCCTTGTCTCACTAGTGTTAAACAATTTTGTTTAAACTTTGATCAAAATAAAAATGAACTTAATTAAACCAAATGATGACGAACATCGTTGTTTTATTTAGCTTTTTTTTGTAGGCTTTTTGGACCAAAGATGGGATTTTAGTAGAAATTTCTTTAAACTTTCTTTTCTTCACATTCGATTTGCATTGCTTATGTTGCAAAACGATGTTATTTATTTCGTTCCGTTGACAAAAGTTTCTGAACCTAGTCAAAGCAAAGATCAATTACCGAAACTCAGAAGAAAATCTAGTTTTTGCAGAACAGACTTTAAACGACAAGTTGGAGTGACTTTCACACGTCAAAAATTAGCATTTAAATATTGAAGTATTCCGAATTTTGTTCTAGGTTAATTTGTGTCATTTTCACATTTGCACAAATATAGCAATCAATCATCTTTTAATTTAAATGACAAAATGTTTATAATTCCAAACAAATCGTTTTTTTTTTCAATCAATTTATTCGCAATCAAAACGAATTTCAATTTAAAAATAAAAAATGTCGCACGAATTTAATCGATAATTTTGAATTGAGCTCAGAATTTGCTCACAAGACAGCTACTCATCGAGATCAAGTGACGTCGTTGACAACTCAACGAAAATCACTAACACACGCAAAAGTGAGTATGTGAATATCAGCATCGATGCTGTAGGTTGTCGTGAGCTTGCCATTGCTCATTGGGCCACAGAGTTGAGCAGACATCTTGAAAAAAAAATACACGCGAAAATAAATCAATTCCGCGTGCAGTAAAAAAAGTAAACGACAGAAAATTTCACAGCGTAAGTGTTGAGTACTTCTGGTTAGTTATTTCGATGTCAGGTTCAAAATCATGTTCTGTTCATCATTCTGTTTCAGAAGAGACAAATCGGTTTGATATTCATGGAAATTAATGACAAATAACCTAAGACAGAAGCACATATGGTGCGCATTTTTTCGTCTTTGCTGTAGACGCGACTGACACGTGTTTTGCGTGAAGTTGATTCATTTGTTATTGTAAAAATTTTCATTTTTTTCTGAATCCAATAGAATGAACCCATTCATATGTGGTTCTGATGGACGCAGAAAGCGCAAATCAAAGTACGCAAAGGTTGAAGTCAAGCAAGAGCCGATGATTAAGGAAGAGCCCAACGATGGTGACGATGTCATGAACATACCACAGCCGAGAGTTGATGGAAGATATCATGCGAATTACGAAGGATCGGTTGACTTTGCCGATGACTTCGATGAGATAAAGGATGAAATCAAATGTGAAGTAGAAGAGACGGACAAGAGCACGGCACCATGTGGACGATCGAAAGAGGGTGCCACCAACAATGATGACAACGAAGACTTGATGGATGACGCAATCGATGTGCAACCATCGCAACCAGTCGACAGCGGGAAGAAACGGAATGGAAGCTCCAAACGACGAAACAAACGAACGATTCTCAGGAACCAAGCGGACAAAAAGCAAAAGAGGCACAAATGCCACTTGTGAAATCATTTGGCAAATGACAAGTATGCATTCAAAGTCCATTTGCGAACTCATACTGGAGAAAAACCGTTTCAGTGTGATATTTGTTTGAAGTCCTTCACACGAAAAAATCTACTGAAAGATCATAAGAAAACGCATGGCCGATTCCGCTGTTCAAAATGTAACCGAAGATTTGAACGTGAATCAGCTGAGATCGACCATGAACGGTTATGTAATCCACGCCAATTTGAATGCGATATTTGCGGATATCACACTGTGGTGAAATCCAGTTTGACAGTTCATATGCGCATTCACAGGGGGAAAAAGCCGTTCGAGTGCTCAATTTGTTTCAAGTCGTTTACAACCAACACTAATCTCCAAAAGCATTCAGTAACTCACAAAGATGAACTGCCGAATGCTTGTTCCAAATGTGGCCGACGATTTGCCACTCCAGAAGATAAGCGAATACACGAATCGCGCTGCCAACGAAGTCTTCTTGCATGTAATCAGTGTCATTACAAAACTGTTTATAAGACTTCTTTCAAGCGGCACATGCAATCAAAACACGAAGCTAAACGGTCGATCAAATGTGAAATTTGCAGCAAGCAGTTTGTCCAACAGACCAAACTAAATCAACATCTATCATCAGCACACAGCGACCGGTTCCCATTCAAATGCTCCAAATGCTTCGGAGGATACGCGACCGAAGATGCAAAAGAGGTTCATGAAGATAGCTGTGGCCACCGTCAGTATCAATGCCATTTATGTGAAGAGTTTCGTCGAGACAAACGAGATTTGAAGATTCACATGCGAAAAGATCACACCGGAGAGTGGATTCAATGCACAGTGTGTGCAGCAAGTTTTGTCCAGAAAGGTCATGCCAATCAACACATGAAGACAGTCCATCATTTGGTAAAGAAATAAGTCACACACTCCATGAATTTATTAGAAAGTAGAGATAATAGTATAGTTTTTCCGAATGGAGACATTACCTTTTGTTTTAAAAGCTTGGAAAACCTTTGTTTCTGTTATTTGAACTTAAAATTTTGCATTTTTAACTGACATAAATTCATGAAAAGCACCTTAGATTTAACCTCTATTTTGAATGAAATAAAACTTAAATAAATTGGAACAAAGAGAGAAGAGTGTTGTCATTTTGAAATTTTTTTTTGCAGAAAATTCTTTTTAGCTAACGAAAGAAACAAAAGCTCTGTTGGCAAAAGTGTTTTATCAACAAAATCCACTACGTTGCGTTCTAATTGAGTTTGCATATTTTTCTGATGATTTTACAATTTCAAAGTGTGATATCGTTCAAAATATCCAATATTTGGATGTTTGGTTTTAATTGATTCTCAAATACCATTTGGGCATCAGTTCAATTGGCTTACTTTTTCAGTATAAACGCATGATAAATTCAATCTCAGTAGCCTTGATGCAATTTTCTTCTGCTGAACTGTAGCATTTTTCAAGATTGTCAACGAATAAGTTAGTCGCTACTCAGCAAATAATTTCGAATCACATTTGATTACATAATTCATACATGCATATCACTCTCCCATTTGACGTTCATCTCAAGCAAATGTGCCCAATAATGCAGTACTTTCAGTGCGATGTGAGAATTACAAGAAAACCCAATAAAATTCCTATTAGAATTTTATAAGATTAAAATGAATTTATCACATTCGCGATCGCGAGACATGAACAATAAACGATCTTAAATACGAATTTGTTCAAATGTAAATAAACGAACGTATGAAATTGTTGCTATCTCACAACTGTGTGTTTTTGTTACAGAGAAATCTCCCGATCAGAGACACTCCCAATGAGTGGCACACATGCATTTCTCTTATGAATAATCATAAAAAAATTAGAACCATGCGATCCCTCTGACATATGCTACTGAATCTCTTCATATCAACTTTCGATGCGCAATTCCGATACCGTGCTTGGAATCTTCGATTTTTCAATGCCAATTTTTTCATAGTTTTTTTACTCGAACACAATGCTTGAGTGTTAAACGGAATACAAGAACCAAAATGCCTCTTTTCCTTTTCAATTCACATCGACTGCGATCTTTGAGATTGTATTCTATTTCATTGTCGAAGAATCAACAAATATTTAGTAATTATTCTGTTTTATGCAATTTCACAGTAAAAATTTGCGGCATTTCTCTACTTCGATGTCTGTTGTCCATTGAACATTACACGATTATCCCAGATTTGTAATTTGAATGATCCGAAATTCATAAAAGCCGTGCTCAACATTTGATTTGGTAAAATATCATCAGTAACGCATGAATCTTAACAGACATTTTTGAATTGAACTCAACGAATTTGCTCAAAAGTGAGCTTCTAATTGACATGAAGTGTATACATGTGGCGACACTGTCAACTTAACGAAATGTCATCAGCACATATAGCAAACATTTGCATCGCAGTATCAATGCCGTAGGATATGCTGAGCTTGCCATTTTTCAATGAGTCACAGAGTGGGGCAGACATATTGAAAGACGATACGCAGAAAAAATCAATTGTACGTTCAGCGAGAAAACAAAGCATCGACAGAACATTTAACGACGTAAGTGTTGAACATTTTTTATTATTTGTTTAGATGGGATTTTCCATTTTGTTTCCAAAGTGGCATATGAATTAAGTTTTTCATGAAAATTGTGAAAAAAACAGCATAAAACAGAAGTGTGCATTTGGTGTGTAATTATCACACACGCGTGGCAAACACGTGTTTTGTATGAAGTAGATCAATTAATTCATTTTTGATTTTCTATGTTCTACCAAACAGAGAATGAACCCATTCAAAAGTATTTCTAGTGGACGCTGCAAGCGCAAGTCAAAATATGCAAAGACTGAAGTTAAGCAAGAACCTGGTATTAAAGAAGAGGCTACCAATGACGGCGATGAAAGTGTCATGAACATACCACGGCCGAGAGTTGATGGAAGATATCGTGTGAATTACGAAGGACCGGTCGACTTTGGCTATGATTTCGATGGAGTAAAAGATGAAGTCAAATTTGAAGAAGAAGAGATGGGCAAAGACAAAGGCTCGACACCATTCGAACGATCGAATGAGAGTGCCGCCAACTATGATGACAACGAAGACAACATGGGTGACGCAGTCGACATTCAACCACCGCAACCAGTCGGCAGCGGGAAAAAACGGAATGGAGTTGCCAAAAGACGGAACAAACGAACGATTCCCAGGAATGAAGCGGCCAAAAAGCAAAAGAAGCACAAATGCCATGTGTGCAATCTTTTGGCAGGTTACAAGTCTGAACTCATAAGACACTTGCGATCTCACACTGGAGAAAAGCCGTATCAGTGTGATGTTTGTTCAAAGTCCTTTGCACGAAAAGATAATCTGAACTGTCATAAGAAAACGCATGGCCAATTTCGTTGTTCAAAATGTAACCATGGGTTTGAACAAGAATCAGATAAGATCGACCATGAACGGTTATGTAATCCACGCCAATTCGAATGCGATATTTGCGGATATCACACTGTGGTGAAATCCAATTTGACATTGCATATGCGGATTCACAGCGGGGAAAAGCCGTTTGTGTGCTCAATTTG